GTGTTTTCGGCTTTTTTACAAACGGGCTAAGCATGCAATATAAATATTGGCATTTTAAGAATAAATAAAGACAACAAATTAACCTGCATGCATTGTACTTATGGAGAATAAATGTACAAGAAGCATAGGTGGGGTTTATTACACGCACGAGTGGCCTGGTTTGCTTTGTTGTTTCTCAGTTCCATGGCCATTTTTTCATGGTTCTAGAATAGGTAAGGTAAGAAAGCACAATATTTGAAAGTTTATTTATACACATTAAATCTATCCTGCTTATACAAATATAATATTAAAATTTACATACCACTTAAAGTCTATATCGGAGGTCAATTTAGCCTAACTATACTTGTCATTAAGGCTAAGGATGTTGCTATTTAATGTTAAAACTGCTTTCCCCGAATGGTGGACCTCTAATCTCACGTAAAACGCGTTTGAAGATTTTCGGAAATCGTCACATGAGAGATTTGTCCGACAGCCATTGCTCAAGACTAAAGACTAAAGGAGTTTCTTCGTTTATGCATATTAGAACGATAAAATGCGTATACAAATGCAGAGGTTGTCTTTTGATATTGTGAGGTTAAAGCCGCCATTATACTAGACCTTATGACGTGGTCATCCCTTCGTCAGCTGTAATGTATTTTGTACACAGAAAATCACCTTTCAAAAAAGAAAAAAAAAGCTATAAACACGAAACACTTACCCAAGGAGGTCTATATAACTTGAAGGCTATATATAATAAACATTTCTCTCAACAAGCTAATATAACTTAGCAAGTGAGCACATAAATACGCAACTCCATTGTGCGCTTTGCATAGTCCACGGTTCTTTGTACGCTGTTGCTGACAAGCTAGAAACTGAAACACTGTTCACTATGAGACTTTGGCTCGTCATTGCTGTCGTGTTGGTAATCATTCAGTGTCAGAGTGGTTAGTTGTTGTAACTTTCACTTACGTTGTTGTTTTACTTGACATTTAAATCAATCTTGAACTGGCGAATTGATAAAGCGTCTTTTCTACCAAACCCTAGTTCAGAATTAACCAAAGAAACCCGCTAAATTTAGGGACAAAGCTGCATTTTTCGGATTAATTGGTCTCTCGTAGTAGTCTAATGAAAAATAGACTAGAACAACAACTGATCGAAGGAAATGGTGCAATTTAGAACAAGCAAAAATGTCGGATGATTTGTTCTCAAGGCGGAAAGCCTCTCTTCATTTACGTTGAAATAAAATGAGATTCGATATTAATTGGTTTCCTATGAGATAAGTGACACAAAAACATATTTTGAATAAAATCTCATCAATTTCCCAATGCGGAAGACTTCATTACAAGCTAGTACAGGATTGCCTCGGGAATTAGAAAGATTCACAACGTTTAGACTTTTATTTTCGGATCAGGCAATCGTGACATGCACTTGATATATAATAAAATGACATGCCAAGTAACTGATAGAAAACAATTGTTCTTAACAAGGAACAAAATCTCATCTGAAAATTAGCTCTTAAGGCCAGTTTGTTTTGCAAGGCGGAAAACCCTTTTCAACCCGGTAGTGACAACCAAAAAGATATCCACTTGGTGTTTCCTGCGTAGTAACGCAAAAAGGATATTTTTTACTTGAATCACATGTTTACACTCGAAGCTGAAGGAAGCTGCTTTATAAAGCCCCGGCCAAACGATCGCAATTTCAACGCAACATATCCCAACATTGTTGGGCGCAACATGTTGCGTGCGTTTGGCCACCGTGTTGCGATGTGTTGTGACATGTTGGGTGTTGTTGGCTCAAGTTTGAAAATGGTCAAATTTGAGCCAGCAACACCCAAAATGTCGCAACACATTGTAACACGGTGGCCAAACACACGCAACATATTGCGCCCAACAATGTTGCGATATGTTGCGTTGACATGTTGCGATCGTTTGGCCGGGGCTTAAAACATTGAAAGAGCGCGAGTATCTTTTTGCAAGAGTGGGGAAATTTGCGCAAAAAGGCCTTGCATGATTTATTTACTTCATGTGTAGCGCCAGAAGAGATAATGTCAGCTCTTAACCAGGGCTTTTTTTATTGTATCGTCTTTATTTCTAGTGCTAAGCTGTGGTGGCGGAGGTAGTGGAGGTGGCGGTGACGGTGGCACAGGGGGAGGTGGTGGTGGTGGGCAAGGCGGTGGTGGCGGTGGAGGAGGCGGAGGAGATGGCGGAGCAGGCGGCGATATAAAACCCCGTAGCTTTGGTAAGAAGTTTCCTTTCCTTTACTAATTCTGATTGCTATGGAGTCCGTGTTTATCTGTATTTTGTTAAGCGAAAACTATCGCTTGAAAGCTAAGCATATTCATTTGTCGTGTTATGCGTGCCTGAAGAAACTCATAATTTCTGTTCAGCTTAATGTTAACTCGAAAGAAATCTTTTCCATGCTGTTTTAAAAACGTAAATTGATCAGTCAATCCCAGTAGACTTCGTCCTCCACAGACCGTGGAAACCACCAAGAAATGGTTTAAAATTTTCTTAATTTTAAACTCTATTATATGGGCTATATAGGTATGTGCGGCCCCAAAGGGTATGGTCTTTTTAGCCGTTTTGGTCATAAATAGGGTATCGATTTTAGCTGATTTTGGTCATTTTGGTCATAAACAGGGTATGGTTTTTGCACTCTAGCCTCGATATGAGTATTTTTTTTAAAGAAGAAGCCACCTTTTCATCATTATCGAAAAGAAAATCAACAAAAGCCCACAAATTATGTTTACGGTAATTTAACATTGGTCTGAACTAGGGAACTAATTGTAACGCAGGTCTGAAATAGGATTTTGATTTCAGGGTCAGGTCATAAACAGGGTTTCGAATTTTTGGTCAGGTCATAAATAGGGTAGGGAGTAACGCAGATTTTGGTCATAAATAGGGTAAGGGGTTTAGAAAGCAGGTCACACACCCCCACCCAATATTTCTGGGAGTACCACTGAAAGTTCTGAAATCTTTAGTTCCCTCATAGAGCTGCTATACCGGGAACCGTGGTTTACCAGTACAATAGAACAGGTTTTTCGCAACTCTATTGACTAATCAAAGCGCGTAGTATGTCAGTTATTTTGTGAAAAAAACTTAAAAACCCAACATAACTTCGAAATAAATCATTTGTAACAATGCAATAGTTGAAACGCTTTCAACGCCACGTTGAAGTTATATGTCTTTAAAATCATTGTCTCATTCGTGCTACTTTCAAAAGACCAATCGCTCTCCTCAGTCTTCCTGATGAACACGATGAATAAGTTTAAAACTGATGGTGTTACGTTTGGGTCTAACCTTTATTATAGAATGTGGAAGCTGTGTACTCTTAGCTGAGTTTTGTGATTTTTCAATACCATCCTAATAAAGATATTCTCAGCTCATGATAAGGGCTAGTTTCGTTTTCAGTAGTTCGTATAGTGTGATCGTCCGGGTAAGGGTAGTTCTGAAAAGAACTGTTTTTGGTGACTGACGTTTCGACAACCTGAGCGGAAGTCTTCTTCAGAATCAAGTGAATAGTGTTTGCCAGTCGATGATGTTATAAGTCTGGTCCGTTGAACGTTATTGGTCAGTTTAGCTATGAAGGTTCTGGCTAAAAGACACGTGTAAAGTTTGTCATCAGTCATTAGTGGGTTTCGGTCCGTCT